GCGCTCTTCTCTCCTGCAGGCGGGAAACACAAGGTGCGCGGAGACATCAACGTCCTGCTGTGTGGAGACCCGGGAACCGCCAAGTCCCAGTTCCTCAAGTACGCCTGAAAACTTCGTTATAATGTTCAGTGCAGCCTGATTTAGAGTCAGGAACAGGAAGTGAGGGTTGGCGTTCTCCTCTGTAGGTACGTGGAGAAGGTGGCGACCCGCGCTGTCTTCACCACGGGTCAGGGGGCGTCCGCTGTGGGTCTGACGGCGTACGTCCAGAGGCACCCGGTGAGCCGCGAGTGGACGCTGGAGGCGGGGGCGCTGGTGCTGGCCGACCGCGGCGTCTGTTTGATCGATGAGTTCGATAAGGTGACCTGAGACCCCCCCGGCAGGACTTCAGATACATACACACATATACCCCATATTCACCACCATAAACTTAATGATTTAACATCTCATTAATTATATGACGAAACAGCCTACCATAATATATGATACAACAACATGCTACACCTCATTAACGGCATGCCATATTTTAAAATATGACACAATGGCCTACCATACCTTGTTAATTAGATGATACAATGATATGCTATGTATTAAAATATGACACAATGGCTTGCCATACCTTGTTAATTAGACGATACAATAGTTGCCATATTTTAAAATATGACACAATGGCCTACCATACATTGTTAATTAGATGATACAATGGCATGCCATACTTTAAAATATGACACAGTGGCCTACCATACCTTGTTAATTAGATGATAAAACAGCATGCCATACTTTAACTTTAAAACATGACACAATGGCCTACCATACCTTGTTAATTAGATGATACAATGGCATGGCGTACTTTAAAACATGACACAGTGGCCTACCATACATGTTAATTAGATGATAAAATAGCATGCCACACTTTAAAACATGACACAATGGCCTACCATACCTTGTTAATTAGATGATACAATGGCATGCCATACATTGTTAATTAGATTATACATTGGCATGCCATGACATGACATGCCATTGTTTTAACTAGATGATACAACAGCCTGCTATACTTAGTTAATTATAAGTATTAAAAAATTGACACCCACCCCCCGTTGTTGCCCTCCAGATGAACGACGCCGACAGGACCAGCATCCATGAGGCCATGGAGCAGCAGAGCATCTCCATCTCCAAAGCTGGCATCGTCACGTCTCTGCAGGCCAGGTGTACGGTCATGGCTGCGGCCAACCCCATCGGTACGATGCTCCGCCTCCTAATTATTCTGAAGTTTTTCTGTTTTCTAATGTTCCTCTCCCGCGGTTGCAGGCGGCCGCTACGACCCGTCGCTCACCTTCGCTGAGAACGTGGACCTGACGGAGCCGATCGTGTCACGTTTCGACGTGCTGTGCGTGGTCCGAGACACCGTCGACCCCGTGCAGGTACTTGAACGCACCGCGCAGAAACATAATCAAATCCAATTTATTTAATTTAATTCTTAACGTTAAAGGACGAGATGTTGGCCCGCTTCGTTGTCGGCTCCCACATCAAACATCACCCTAGCACCAAGGAAGGGGGCGTGGCCTTGGAGGAGATGGTTCTGCCCAACTCGTCCGACGTGCCGCCCATCCCTCAGGAGCTGCTGAGGAAGTACATCCTGTACGCCAAAGATCGGGTAAGACGTCACAAACGTTTTTTTAAAAGCTTTGACTTGAAACGATGTTTGATTCTGGAGGAAATGAAAACATTTCCTGGTGACTCGTTTCTGCAGATTCACCCCAAACTGAACCAGATGGACCAGGACAAAGTGGCTCGGATCTACAGCGACCTGCGCAAGGAGTCCATGGTGAGTCTGACGTCCAAACGAGCTCAGAACTGTCCCACTGCACCTGAAGGGGGCGTGGCTGATGTGGGTCTGGTCCCTCCCTCAGGCCACCGGCAGCATCCCCATCACGGTCCGGCACATCGAGTCCATGATCCGGATGGCCGAGGCCCACGCCAAGATGCACCTGAGGGACTACGTCCTGGAGGACGACGTGAACATGGCCATCAGAGTGATGCTGGAGAGCTTCATCGACACGCAGAAGTTCAGCGTGATGAGGAGCATGAGGAAGGTCAGGGGTTCCTCCTGTCAGGAGCGCCGTGGAGCTCTGGCTCCTCCCACATGAAGCTCTGACTCCGCCCACATGAAGCTGACCCTTCTGTTTGTTTTTAGACGTTCGCCCGTTACCTGGCGTTCCGCAGAGACAACAACGAGCTGCTGCTCTTCATCCTCAAGCAGCTGGTGGCCGAGCAGGTGGCCTATCAGAGGAGCCGCTACGGAACCCAGAACGACACCGTGGAGATCGCCGAGAAGGACCTGCAAGACAAGGTACCTTCAGGACCTGGACCAGAACTGTCAGTTCTCACAGGTTCTAGCAGGAGCTTTTTATCACAGCCTGAAAGTAGATTTTCTGTGGAGCTAAAAGTGTGGCCGTGAAGTTTGTTTTTTTAACTAAAAAAAGAAACTATATATATATATATA